AAGAGTAGATGTGAATTTTAAGGAAAGCCAGAGATTTTCCTAGTGCTCATTCTACGATGAGATTGTCGATGAAGCAAAGTTGTCATCGGCTACATTACTTATTTTTCGAGACAACCAATAGATCATATATATATATATATATTTATATTTATATATGAATGCATCTAGTACTCTCTAAAAGCTACTTCTAAAAGCGAAAAATAAGTAAGGTTGTCGATTAAAATAACAAACACAACTTTGCTTCATTGGCCATCCCATCACACAATGTGATATGTGAAATTTCCATTTTCTCTGTGGCCCAAGGACTCTTGTGGTAGTTTGGCGTAACAGTAACGTATCGAGATTATACGCTGCTGTACCACAACTCTGGTTCGAGTCCGGCTGAAAGTGCTGATGAAACCAATTCAGACGAGTTCAAGGCTACAGTCCGCTCCAGCCAGGATAAAAATATCTTTTGAAAATCAAGACTGTGTGAAATTTTTTAGGAAATGTAAGGTCTGCTAATATCATTAGAAAGGAAATTCAACTGCCAGTCCTTCATCGTCTTAACGAAATAAGATGAATACATCCCGTATATACGAAAAATGGCTGTTTTGGAGAGGTGAGGACTGTTGGATCGTGCGATGAACCTGTACTAAGCTTTTGTTTGTCCCGAACTCGCAGACATCTTCAGAGCAAAAAAGTATACTTTACGATAATCCGTAAAAAAGTACAATAATATTAATAAACTATCTCACAACCAACCGACTCTGCTCCTGGCAGATGCTTGGTGTTCTTAATGGGCGAACCCAGCAGCTTGCTTTTGCAATTACCTTCGAATGCATATCATGTTTTAGTTAACATTTTTTATTTAAATCTTTTCTATTCAATCTTCATCCTTACTCTCTGACGAATCCTGTTTCACATGTTCCCTCTTGCAACCCCTCCTGGCCAACCCCGCCCCATCAACAGGTCAGTCTGGCGGCATCCCACATCTGCCAGTGGCTCTTCGCCCTTCGCAGCTACGGCGAGGCCGAGGCTCGTCTCGCCGTGACCGCCAGCGACAAGGACAACTCATGCCTCGTGTTGGCCGCCGCCAAAGCCGTGTTCGGAAAGCGTAGACTCGCCTTGGAGACGGCTCGATCGGCTCTTCAGCTGGCCGATCGTAGAGTGACGAGTTGTCGGGACAAATTTGATCAGATCCAACAGGAGGTCAAGGTCGGCTATCTCCAAAAACGTGTGCATTTTCTTCATCTTTCTTTGACGAAGTCACTGTCTGTTGCTTAACTGGAGAAGATAATTGAGCTGGTCTGCAATCATCAACGAGTAGGCGGATTGGTGTTGAAGTGCCGACAATCAGTTGAGAATGAGAAGTAGCTTAAATCCCGAAAGTTCGGAAAGTTGTCACTTCGGATGGTTGAAAAAATTGTGAGGTCCTCCGCAGCGTCCTTCTCGAGAACGACTCCAATCCACTCGTCTCCATTCCTTAACTTAAGCCCCATTTAACACCGGAAATAAGATGGATATTATTAAAGGCCATATGTAGGTCTCTTTTTAAATGAGACTCACCTTAAATTACCTGAGCTGATAGTTTCGAATACTACTTGCTCAGTATATAGTAATATCGTCAAGTGTACTGGCAACTAAACCCCTTAAAGAGTCATCGGTTTTAAATAAATCTCATGACCTTAAATTGTTGTGTTGACCTTTCCTTGGTACGAAGGTGCATGATGAAGAGATTCTTGGGTCGAGCTCACCAAAAGACGACGCCTGATACCCGTTGTTCCGCTCAAATATATATAAATATACATATATATTAGTTTTCATGCGTAAGTATATATATTAGGTAAAGTAGAGTCAGCTGGTCTTCTCGATATTACTAATGAGTAGTCTTTGCAAGTACCAGTATGTCCTGAATAAGCCCTATATTTACCTGAGAGGGCATAAACTA